ATGTGAAAAACATTTGATTTTTTTTTTTTTTTTTTTTTATAAATAAGCTTTATCTGGAGAAATTTTAAAGAAGTATTCACTGACAGTGTTTTAATTATTAACTGCTTAAAATGTTTTGTATTGTGTGTGCATATATATATGCATATATGCATACACACACACACACACACACACACACACATATATTTCCCTTAGTTTGCTTGAAAAAGGGAATTCTCAGAAACACAGTATAATAGATTCCATAAAAACAGTAACCTTATTAATAAAAATCAGCCACAGCCAAAGACAGAAAGTATTTAACTTGACACAAAAGTTTTTGTGAAGTGTTGTACACATTTGCAGAAATTCCAGTACTAATAGGACTGGGCCTTTAGACAGAGTTACTTTAAAAGCAACGCTGGCGGGACTTTCTATCCTAAGTACAGTTTTAAAATCTATGCATCTTCAATGAAGAAAGACTCAAAATATTACAGTCTTTTGATAATTCCCCCCAGGATTTTCAGTTCCCAGGCAGGTCCTCTGCACTCTTTGGTTGCAGCGGATTTTCTCACTATGCATATATCTTTAAAAGCCAAATGTGATGTTATTTTGTGATGGGAAAGGGGGAACAGGAAGGCAGCAAAAGCAATATGAATAAATACTGCTGTGATGCATGTCAATTAAGAAGACTAGTAAATCCGTCAACTCTTCCCTCCTCCACAATTTAACTAGCAGATTTCAGGTACAGCCCGCATCACCCACACAAACTGCAAGAATTTTACAGCCTCATCAACATGAGGCCATTTACCATGAGACCTTGATGAGAAGATGAGAGAGAGACACAAGTGATTTTTCAACATGATGTTCCTTAAAAGAAACAAAGGGTGACACTTTGGATCTATTAAAGCCAATGGCAAATCTCCCATCATTTTAGCAAGGCCAGGACTTAACACCTTGAGTGCCATAAGACTCAAAAGGTGACTCAAATTTTGACAGTATGGTTAAGAGAAGCCAAGAAAAATTTAAGATGCTGTTCAAAATACAATTACTCTCACCATTATGTTTTTTAAATTTCAGGTGAACAAAATGCTCTTCTGGCACTTTCCATACCATTCAAGCAAATCTATACTACTACTACTCACAACTGCATAATTATCTGGGAGGTGAAAGAAAAAATACCAATACATTGTTTTTTTTAAAAATGTGTTTCAACCCAAATATGTTCCAACTAAAATGAACATTTTTCCATTTTAAATTGCTGTTAGAGAGGGGAGGGAAGGGAAATTTTGCAAAACACTAGGAACAAAAAGTTTTACAGAATAAAATCCTTGTTTTTCATCCCCTTGACAAACAGACTCATGATGGGTGTCATCCTGAAAGCATGGTGTACATGGAATATGAATTCTATGTATGCAATTCTCACAGAGCTGAGTCCAGACTGAAGGAAATTAATCTTAGTTTAAAAATAATCTTATGTTTGGGGGATAATGGAAAGGAATGACTTATGTCCATAAACTGCAATTACTTAAAATGTATGTTTAGATTCACAGAAGGTAGCAAGTGCTCAAGTCTCACCGAAGTCAAGAGGACTGCTTTGCTGAATTGGGATGGATGTATGCCTAGTGCACACATTGTAATGATTATAGCTATACATTTACAAAAACAATGACCATAAATACTTAAATAAAATGTGTCTGAATCAAAAAAAACACTTTGGTTTGAAAACATCTGAAACAGCAAGCAGCTATGTTACTTCTTATGTTCAGCTACATCCACAAATTCTTTTGTATATACTTTTTTTTTTAAATGTAGTATTTAAAATTATTTTTTCTGACTCCAACACAAAGCATTCACTGTGTTTCATCCACTGTTTAGGTCAAAAGTAACCCCTGTGAAATCAAACTAACCCAAAATTAATGAAATTCTTAGTTACATTAGGATCATTAAACACCTCTAGGCTAATAGATATGTGCAAACTAAGAACAAAAAGCAATTCTCAGTCATCTGTGAACAACAGATATTTACAATGACATTATGCCAAGAACAATACTCTATTATTCAGGCAAAGCTGAATGAAGTAGCACTAATCCTCTTATTACATTTGTATAAAAGGAAAAGTTTAAATGGTACAGTACCTCTGTCCTCAAGTGGGTTATTAGCAAGGTTAATGGTATGAAGTCCTGAGTTAGGATTATGGGCTAGGGCATTGGCTAGTTTCTGTGCAAAATCACTGCAAAGAAAGCATAATAAAAGATTATATCTACTGCATCAATCAACACCACATTCAGAGGCTTAGAATATGTTCACTAGAAAGAATGGAAATGTCTAATGCTATCAAACACAAAGCTACAAAATATTTCCATTAGTTGTTACGTCACACACCTCAGTATAATGTCATTATTTCAATCCAGCAATATTCTCATTTCTTATTTATATTAGATTCAAGAGACCTTCACATCACAGGGAACTCACCCAATGCTCTGAGCACCTTTGATATGTATTTATCAATGCTGGAAAATAGGAGTTACAAAATGAAGAGTCCAAACCAAGAGCATTTCTCCTTCTCAGACCCCGGCTGGGATCCAGTGCTGGGTTTCCCCTCCCCCTTCTCAGCCAGCTGGAGCAGTGATATTGTTCTGGTTAGGGGGCAGAGGGGCAGGCCCAGCCCTGCTGTGCTGGAGCAGACAGCACAGCCGAGGGCTGCAAAGCATCCTGGGATGCTGGGGGACTGTGAGTTCACTTGAACTGGGAGTGGGCCTGGGACAGAAGTTTCATAAACCAGTTTTATCTAAATCAGTTAAGTCTGGTACTAAATCCAACGAGGTTTATCTTAAACCAGTTTCAGCCTTTTTGAAAGCGGTTTAAGTGCACTGAATTTTGGCTCTGTTACAGGCTTAAAAGGTTTCTGATCATTTAAAATGATTTACGTACAATGTCTGCCCCAGGCCATAAGCGCAGTGCTGTGGCAACAATGCCCTAAGGAGACTATGTTGCTTCATTTCCAGGTGCTGGTGCACATGGTGGGGGAGTGGAAAATGTGTGCTCCTCTGCTGCACTCTACCACACAGCCCAGAAGCAGTACAGACATACTCTTACTGCATGGGCAATAGGTCTGTGTGAAGCGGCTAGTAATCGCTTTGAATTTGGATTCAGCCAATTCAGGGGACAGTGATTCAATTCGATGATTTGAATCACTGTCCTGAATTGATTCAGCTGAATCTGATTCAGAGATTCAGCCACCACCGAATCAGCTGAAACACTGAATTGAACAGGCCCCATCCACTGCCCACTCTTGAGCCCCATAAATGGCTGCCCCACCAGGCCCCAGCATTCTGGCACTTTAAAAAAAGCCCTGTAATCCCTGCTGCCTCCCACTTTCCAGCGCTGCGTGTGGGGGCTCTGCCACAAGGCCCCGACAGCC